TTGCTGTTGATTTTGTGACTGGTCTTCCTCCTTCTGAGGGAAACTCCGTCATTTTGATCATTGTAGACCGGCTCTCCAAGTCCGTGCATTATGTTTCTTTGCTGAAATTACCTTCAGCCTTTGAGACCTCTAAATTGCTGATTGAACATGTTTTCGGACTCCATGGCATACCACAAGATATTGTGTCTGATAGGGGGCTGCAGTTTACTTCGCAGGTCTGGAAGGCCTTCTGTCACGCTATGGGGAGCTCCTCCAGCTTGTCGTCGGGAAATCATCCAATTGATTGGCCAACGGCCAGACTGAGCGGGCCAACCAGGACTTGGAGGCCGCCCTTCGCTGTGTTACTGCTCGCCACCCCGTTTCCTGGTCTACTCATCTCCCCTGTATTGAGTACTCCCACAACACCCTAGTGTCATCTGCCACCGGTATGTCCCCGTTTATGGCTGCTAATGCTTTTCAACTTCCTCTTTTCCCGAGCCAGGAGACTCGAGTTGTGGTCCCTTCCATCCAGCTTCCTCTTCAGCGAGCCCAACGTGTCTGGCACAAGGTTCGTGCAGCCCTTTCACGGACTGCGGCACGTAACCGCCAATCTGCTGACCGTCGACGTTCACCTGCTCCTGAATATAATAAACCAGGTCAGAAAGTTTGGCTGTCAACTCGGGACCTTCCCCTGCAAACTGATTCTCGGAAGTTGTCCCCCAGGTTTATTGGACCATATGAGATTGACAAGGTTATTAATCCGGTGGTTGTCCGGCTCAAACCACCTCCTTCTGTTAACGTGCATCCTGCTTTTCATGTTTCTCTATTGAAACCGTTTTTGACGAGTCCGCTGAGCCTTCCGGCCGAGCCCCCTCCGCCGGTCGTGGGTTCCAGTATTTGGTTGACTGGGAGGGCTATGGACCGGAGGACCGTTCCTGGGTTTCCTGTTCTCTGATTTTGGACAGGGTCCTCTTCCGGGACTTTTATGTTCGCTTCCCTTCAAAGCCTGGTGGTCCGCCGGGTGGTGTCCGTTGAGGGGCGGGGGGGGGGGAAACAAAACTTTTTGTTTCTCTGCAGAGCTTGTGGTGATGGGGGTGTGGCTGGATGGTGCAGCAGACACACCAGCAGCCTATTTACACCTGGCTTCTTAAAGTGGTTCTCACCCCCGCTCCTCGGATCTTACGTCACTCACATTTCCTGTTCAAATCTTCCTCTAAATGGGCGTAGCCTGGAGGACTAAAGGAGGCGTGAACAAGACTGGGCCGTTTACATTGCTCTGGGCAGGGGGCTGCTGACGTCAGGTCTTGCTTCAGACGTCAGGTCTTGCTGCCGCGCCAGTGTTGGCGCCAGATTCAAAATTCAAATGTAATACAGGTCGCCAGCAGATGGCGCCTCACAGACGGTTTTAGGCAGAAAGTTTAACTTTCAACTAATTTGCACCAAAGTGACAATATTATGACCAGGATATGTACACAACACTATTGGACACTCATTTAAATCGTTTATCAGCAAAAAAAGTGGATTTGAGGGTGAGTTGTCCTTTAAGCTCAGTTTGGACTGCTCTTCAGTGCCAGATAATTCCGTCACATACGATCCGTGGTCGCTGCACTTCCACGTTTCCAGCCAGCCTCTGTCACCTCAGCCTGCCTGCAGTTTTGTATTTTTACTTTTAGTTTTAGACCCCACCCGGAGGCGGAGGGACACGACCCTCTCATTCAACGGGAAGAACTCCAAAACGTGGCGGCTGAGATGGGGGCAATGATAATGGCCACCCCCACGAGCCCATGAACTGGTTCCAGCTCTGATTGCCCTCACCCCCAACCCAGAAATGGATTAAGCCAGGGGATGAAAATGGATGGATGGACAGACTTACAAGAAATTCATGATCAAAATCAGCATTTTGTTATGTTACGACTACAGACTTTTCAGAACTCCCAAAAAGCTTGACAGTGACTGACGGACAATGCTGCTATCTCAATGATGCCCAATAGGGAAGTGCTAAGGAATTAGATTTTGCTCTAACTCGCATGGAAAAGTAACTCCTCAAGTGTTCTCAGCAAGCCTTATCTTTTTTAAGGTGTTATTGTCTTTTTAAATCCACTAATGAGACTTAACAAACTGACCCATTAGTGTCTTCTTTTTTTTTTTTTTTCATACTTTATTTTGTCATATTTTCATTAGTTCACACATTTTTCTTAATACATACAGCTTAACAAGACACATTTTGATTTATTTTTTCATTTCCTCCCCCCCACTGTGCTCCCCTTATACATGCAAAACAAATACATAGAAAAATAAATGAAAAAATAGAATAAAATAAGAAAAACAATATGAAAGTAAAAATATAGAATACTACAAACAATGAATGGTTATTCCTATGGCTATTTGTTGAATAGAATTGACATACTAACAAATAGACAGAATGTGTTGTTGATTTAGCCAGTCTTCCTCTTCTGTGTCTATGTGTCCAATGTCCATATTTGTTAAGTTCACATTTATATATACATTTACATAGATACATTTATATATACATAAACATATACACAGAAATGCCCATACACACACACAGTAGGTGTCTTCTGACAGGCACTGTTCCAAATTTGCTCTAAGGAGCTTGGTCGTTTCTACCATGTACATTTTATTCCACCTTCCTGATTCAACAACCTATTCACGAGCGTTATTCGGCTTTTTCCACAACAAGGCAATGACATGAAGAGAACTGGAACTGTAATATGTATTATGTTTAACATTGTTGGTGAAAGCAGCAGTAGATTGCACACAGCTAGAGCTGACTTGTGCTGGAACAAAGAACTTTAGACTGGCTGTAAACTGACTGGATGTGTGTAAACATGAGGGAGTGATGTGACAGGTTTGACTGGCAGCTGCCAGCACAGGAGTCTGACTGGGTGGGAAAGGAGGGAATGAGGATTGGAATGAGGAAGTAGAAGGTGTGCCGCGTCTGCCAGTCTAAACTTTTGCCTTTACAACAGTGTTTTTCAACCACTGTGCCGCGGCACACTAGTGTGCCGTATGATATTGTCTGGTGTGCCGTGAGAAATTCGTCTACTTTGTCTAAAAATAACTGCATTCGCTGTTGACGAGCGGTGACTTGTTTTGAACTGTGGAGTAACCATGTAATACTTTTTCAAATCAGTAGATGGCAGCAGATAGCTAAGTACTTTGAAACTGAAAAATTGGATGCGACCACTGACAGCCAGTGGTCGCATCCAATTTTTCAGTTTCAGGTCAGCATTGTGGCGAGAAAGGTAAAATTGGATGCGACCAACAAATGTGGGAGGGAGCGAGACAAGAGCTTTGTGGCGAGTGAGAAGTGAAAGTGATAGAGACGTTTTTGAAAATGAATTATGCCGTTTCTGAACAGGATTAACATCCTCCGCTCTGCCCCGGGGCAGCTGTGGCCGCGTTGTAGTGGTTTAACTATGAAATGTACCATTTTTGTACAACAGCTCTCGTGAACGCACTTCTGAACTGGGTACCGAGCGCAGACCATAGTCGAGTGGACAGAACCACAGACATGCGCACCGGACAGAACCATGGACTCGCGTTCAGGACCTCCCGTGTCCCTCATCCAAAACTCCTGAATTTAAAGCTCGGATACCTAAATTTTTCCCATGCACTAACAATGCATGTTCTTTGTGTGAGTTATTATTTGACTATGGGCAGAGAGTGGATTTTCTTTTATTTTTCTTTTATTTTTTTCCACACAGTTAGTGCCACTTTATTCCCAAACTCTTGTTAATTGTATCGAGAAATATTAAATAAAGCTTAATGTCAAGGCCTGGACTTAAGCATTTTGATGAGAATAACTGTATATTGTGAATATAGGCTACAGAGTATACAGTATACATTATAAGATAAGATAAGATATACTTTATATATCACACAGAGTATGTACAGTATATATTTTTAAATTAGTACTGTATACATTTTTACATTTTCTCCTGGAGGTGTGCCGCAAGATTTTTTTCAGTGAAAAAGTGTGCCTTGGCTCAAAAAAGGTTGAAAAACACTGCTTTACAAAACAGTTCAAGCTCTGTAAGATTAGATGGAGAACGTATGTTACTGTAATGCCGTGTTCAGACCGATCGCGATGGAGGAGTCAGGGGCGAGTGATTTACATGTTATGTCTATGGCCGGGTGCGCTCAGGAGCGAACCCGGCGGTGCGAATGACGAGAGTAGAGCGAGGCGAACAGGGCGTTTTGAACGAAAAGAGCGGAACGAAAGTGGCGAAAGGGGCGTTTGACGCGCGCCTAGAGCCATTTCGCCTCCACCGCCCTACTCGCTCGAGTTGAAAAATCTGAACTTTTTGGTCAATTCGCGGGGCGTTGACCAATCAGGGACTGAATCGAGCAGTGACGTAGCATTGAACCGCGGCGGAGACGAAGCATCTTTTCATTCAACATGGAGGACTCACTGATCGTAGCTGTGTGCCAGCGGCCCGAGTTGTATGACACCAGCAACTATTACTACAGAGACAGGGATAGAAAGGAGCTAGCGTGGAGAAGGGTCAGCGAGGAGACGGGGTGCCAGGTAATTTTTTTATTTTTATATATATAATTTTCACTCTACTAGCGTAGCGCTAGTATCCCGCGCAAAATGTGTCGCTATTTACGAGTGTCTTATTTCGTTTCGTATTCTCTAAATTAAGTTACTTTTGGACATGCAAATGTTTTATATTGTATTATGTGCAGTATTGAAATGAGCATGTCACGTTTTAATGCAAATTTAATTTGTACTCGTTTAATTGGGGAGAAGCATCACAGTCAAAAGTGGAAGATAAATCACAAACATAAGCCAATTTATATTTATATCCTATACATTTTCAGAGAGTGCGTGCAAGAAAAAATGGAAAAGTCTGCGGGACACATATCTGAAGGAGAGGAGGAAGGAGTTGGACAGGAGGAGTGGGTCAGCAGCAGGGGCGGTGCGGAGGTGGAGGTTCTCTGCTGTCCTTGCTTTCCTGGACCCATATGTCACCCCTCGTGCCACCACCAGCAACATGGGCCAGGTGGAGGAGGCAGCAGAGGACCTCCCAGAAGAGCCCACCCAGGACCAGGAGGCATCAGAGACTGAAGGTATGCAGCAAAATCTTTCATGAGAAATGTACACCGTAAAGTATGACTAATTTCATATTTGACTGTCATGACAGAGCAATACGATGATGGGAGCAGGCCAGGATCCCCACTGGAGGAAGATCCTGTCCCTGTCCCATCCAGGTCTCCAGTCCCTGGTCCTTCAACCCCTGCTGCTGCTGCACCAACACCCACTCCCATAGGTGTGTACAGGTTACAGTACCAAAAAAAAAAACACACATGCAATAGGCTATACATTAACACACCAACACATGATATTGTAATATACTGTATATATATATATATATGTGTGTGAGTATTTTGACATTGAAGTCTTGTTCCAATTTAATTAGTTACTGTTTTGTTTTTTTCAGGAAAAAGGAGGCGGCCACAACCCCCGGCAGAGCCAACGGCGGTGGAGCAGGCCATTTTATTCGCCCTGAAAGAGCGCCCTGTCCCTCCACCAACGGCCACCCGGGAGTTTAGCCACATAGAGTATTACCTCCTGAGTCTTGCTCCTTCCCTGGAGAGACTGTCCTTCTATGACCTAGAGGTCATAAAAACAAAAATAAATAAAGTCATATTTGACAATTGCACTGTTGTGCTCAATTTGGAACATTCGGCCCAATAGATTTTAAATAAAAGTTTATAGATGTTGGCAGTTTCTCCAGGGAAGGACCAGTTCTCCTTCCTCCTCTCCTAGTTGTTCATTGTTGAAGTGTTCCTTTCTATCCCTGTCTCTCGTCATACAAGTCAGGCCGCAATATTATTTATTTTTGTATTTTTATTTTATTTTTTATAAATAAATCTAGAAAATGTCATTCTACTTGTCTTCTTGCATGCAAACATTTTATATCTAATATATTTCATACATTCATTGTAATATCACAATATGACTCAATCATGCATCTGCAAACCAGGTACATTTATGCATTGGTTGTAATTTATTGTGGCAGACTGAAATACAAGGTTTTCCTTTGGGGCTTGTCTCAAGACATTGTAGTAAAACCATCCCAGCATATACAAAATGACCCCTCCCCCTGAAGAGGACCATGATATAGTTTAACATATTTTAAACCAGGGGTGTGCTTGTAATTTTCAGAGGGGCCACATAAGTAACCGGAATTGAGTTGGAGGGACATGAAAGTCGCTTAAAAAAATATTGCATACACACACAAAAAAAAAACCCACAACATTAACAAAGGGACAGATATCATAAGATCCTCCTTTCTATTCAAAATCAGGTGTTTATCTTTTTCCAGAATGTCCACTTGAGTTCATGTCCTGTCGAATATCTGCAAAAAGAAATAATGACAAAAAGACAAACATTCATAAGCGATTGTATTAAATCCACAGCATTTATAGGTATTAATTGAATAACTCACTGATTGGAGAGGAATGATGTGATGGATGTGAACTGCAGCTGCCTTGGAGGTAAAATCAGTTGGGACATAACATGAGCTTTAATTCACAGAATGTGCGTTGAGTTTGGATGAAGTCCCTGCAAACACAAAGAAAAACATAACAAAAAATACAGTCCACAGTTCATTTTGTTGCAATATAGTTACATTAAAACAGTAGAATGTACAATAGGGCTGAAGTTTTGAAATAAGCTCTTTATGTTTGTGGGTGGCTTTTAAAAAAGCCGTTGTTAGTCCTGAGAAGGACTGGTGGAAATCATTCTGTGGGCTGCCATGATACTGCTCCCTCTGCCATGAAGTACTCTTTGAAAGCATCCCTCACGCGTCTTGCCTCTGTGGAAGAGTTGTTGGCAGCTACCCGGCCCAAACCTTGCAGTGGTACCTCTTCTGCTGCTGCACCCCTCACAGCAGGTGCCTCAGCTCCCACAGAAGCCCGCATGAAATTGTGAAGCACACACACATGTCGCCTTCACACACTGCTCCACCACTTCAGGACGCACCTCAATGATGCGTCGGTACCACCTCCACTGTGCGGTCAGGATGCCAAAGGCGTCCTCCACAACAAGGCGGGCCCGGGAGAGGCGGTAATTAAAGACGCGTTCCTCCGGGGGAAGGCCACCACGTCCGCGTCCAGGGAAAGGTCGCATCATGTTCCTCCTCAGCGGGAACGCCTCATCAGCCACAAATACATGAGGCTGAGGTCCTCTGTGCTCAGCATCAGGCAGGTGTTGGTCAGCAGGCAGATGGAGTGTGCCAGCCCGCAGACCCTGACCAAAAGCTGAATTGGACAGAATGCCGCCATCACTGGTCCTCCCATACCCCCCAACATCGATCACCCGGAACCGGTACCGAGCGTCCACAACAGCCAGGAGGACAATAGAGAAATCCCCCTGGTAGTTGAAGAACTGGGATCCTGAGTTGGGGGGCGCTGCAATCCGGACGTGCTTGCCGTCCACTGCTCCACAGCACAGAGGGAAGTTCCATCGGTCTTGGAACTCTGCAGCGATGGACAGCCAGTCTTCAGTGGAGGGCACAGCCATAAACTCCTCCACAAGACAGTGCCAGATAGCAGCCACCACCTGAGGGACAATGCCGCTGACAGTGGAGACACCTACCCGGAAACTGTATGCGATAGTCCTGTAGGAGTCCCCAGTGGCAAGATATCTATAAAAAAAGAAAAACACAGGGCAAAATTATTAACTCTACTAAAGGATATTGATTTTGTTGCCAAGTTATACTACTTACTTGTAATTTACTTTAAATAAAGTATTTAAAATGATTTTATCAACCATTACTAATGCAATATCATAATTAAGGCCCTTCTGCAAACCCAGGTAATGTGGTACTACACAAGAAACACTAGATAGCGCTATTTGGCTGTTTATTGCAATTTTCTTAATCACAGTCGGTTGCAACATTTAGTTATCTAACCTAATGGACTATTAATTATCTAACCCCCACCTGAAACGAGCTTATCGTGTCTAGTTTGGCATAACTAACTGATTAGTTTGGCATAAATCTAAAAGCTAAACAGTGGCACAATGGCTTTACATGTAAAGTACTTGGATTATAACATTTGGAATCTTATTTATTGAGAACCGCTTGATTTACTAACCGAAGACAGATGGACAGGCGCTCTGCAGGGGAGATAGAGCGCCTGTAGTTGGTCTCCCGGACGGTGATCCGAGCCACAACGCGGGACAGCAGGTCCTCAAACTGGGTCCTGGACACACGGAAATACCGCTGGAATCGACCGTCATCCAGGCGCAGCTCCTGGAGCAGATGGTGGTACTCCCCATATTGGGAGCGTCTCTGGAGGATATCGTGGACCCAGAGACGGCGTCGCTGCCGCCGCTGTTCGGCTTTCCACATTAAATAAAGTATAGTGACTCGTTCCAGAAAATCAAAGCCCGCCATGCTGAGTTGAACAACAACCGGAACCGGCAACTGGCCATAAGCTCCTCCTATTGGATGACGCGGCGAGGCGAAATCTCGACGAAAATCCGCAGGCGAACAGAGCGAGTAATCGCTGCGATAGAAGCGAGTGTCATCAAATATTCAAGCGAAAAACGCCTGGCGTTTGATGCGATTTTTTCGCCTCCATCGCGATTGGTCTGAACACGGCATAACAACCTGTTTCACACATTGTGAAGACTATTCAAATGTCTGAAAAGTCTTTTTGCTTAGATGTATATCGGTAAATTGTCCTGATGGTAGGTCAACATCCACCTCTCCAGGTGCTTTTCCCTAACTATTGTCTATTCTTTTTTTTCTCCAGCCACCTTTCCATCAACTTATCTCTGTCCATGCTGAAGAATAGCAGCCCGACAGCATGACGCTGCCACTACCTGGTTTGGTTGTGAAGATAGTGCTCTGAGGGTGATGAGTAGTGTTTTGATTTTGATTCATGTTTTATTTTTTTATCCATTAAGGCTGCGGTCACATGCACAGCCTAAAGCCCTGTTTAAGTGGGCCAGGGCCCGTTTAGGGATTAGATCCGGGCTTTAGGTGCTTTGTGACCGCGGCTATCGAGCCTGGGCACGATGGCAGCAACAATCGTTGCTCGATTAAAGACGTGGGCCTGAGCACCCTTTCTAGCGCGGATGAGGGGGGTCACTGTGGCAGGTGGTGGGGAGTGGGGGATGTGGTGTGGTGGGGACGTGATATTGTGCGTCACATTACCTCTTCCTGTGACACGCATTTTCGTATTCTCCGCTTTTGTTAAACCTTTCGTAAAAGCCCCCGGACCGTGGCCAAGGGCACTGGGGAGTGTGTGGCTGCGCTACAGGGCCAAAGAAAAGCGTTTCCTACAGGAATAACTCTCTTCTGTTCTGACCCTCGCTCTCAGTGTGGTGCTATTGCAATTCTCATTCTTTCATTCTCATTCATTCATTCTCAGCGCTTTACGCTCGTTACTATAAAGGCGTGCTCCCGTGTCCACGGCGCGCCCGCACACACAGACAACACACACACACAGACACAGACAACACACACGTGTCCAACCGCTGCCTTTTGGGGAAAGACATCTCACATTTGTTCACATTGCTCTGATGCAAACAAAATGTTGCATGCTCGAGCCTGTTAGCTACATTAGCAGAATGTAAACAGGAAGAGAAGCGGATACTCAACTCGGACAACGTGGTAGTCGCTGAAGTTATTCTTAGCGCCACCAGCTGGACTGGGCGTCGTACTACAGCAAAATTGCGCTGGCACGGTTCAGAGGACACTTTCATGTGACCGCGGGCTGTTTTCACACCCCTGTGGCGACGATCTGGGCCACTTGGCCCAGTTCGCTTGTAAAAACCTATGTGACCTAAGTCAATTGTTGGTTTTATCTGTCTCTGCAAATTGTGTGTGTATTAAAACTTGTACTGTATTGAGGCATGTTGGGATGAAAGTCTAAACTAGTGTTCAAACAGGTGAGGCCAACAATGTTTGCTCTGTGTGAAGGGCCGAGCATCAAGAAGAAGCACTTTCACTTTTCAAAGGTCTATCGTGTGGAGCGAACAGACTTACAGTCATGCAGGTGTGTTGCCTCATAGTGCGCTTTTATTTATTTGTGGTCAATCAATGTAATTCTTCCAACATTCAACTGGATCTACAGTATACAGTATCTTATTTTGTTCATGTATTTGAGCAATAGATAGCTTGATAACTAGATAGATAGATATAGATAGATGTGATGTAAGCCTTGTGCTACGATTACTCCTCTGAACGGCCACAGTGTCATGCAGAGGGTGTCTGGAGTTACCCAGGATGCCCTGCATTAGAGCCCTCATCCTTCTCTCCAGCACAGCTCCCACAGAGTCCACACTTCTCTCCATCACAGAGACACATTTCCGGATCAGTCTGTCAAACCGGACACTGTCTCTCGAGGTCAGACTTCCACCCCAACACGCGACCCCAAAGAACATGGCACAAGCTACAACAGACTGGTAAAATATGTGCAACATCTGACTGCTCACATCGAAGGACCTCAGTGTTCTCAGGAAGAAGAGTATGAGCTTCGCCTCATTTATATCATATTGTAAAAGCCTCTGCTGGTGTCATTCTGCATTTAGATGAGCGTTTTATTATCAGAGAAGCAGGAAATGGGCAACTAGTCGTGTTAGCTTGTCTGAGAGACACATTTAAAACAATAGTAATATTAGTCATCACAATAATAAACAACACATTATAAACTAATGTCATTGAATTAAAGACATGCTGTGAATCATGATTGACTGGACAGGAGAGGACATACAGTAGGTAGAGCGCTGAGACTAACTGCTGTGGGGGGAAAGGCGGGGGACGAGGAGGCGATGTGTGCTTGGCTGAAGAGAAGTTTTGAGCCATGGGCCTTTTTGATCTCCAAAAGCATGGAAGCAGAGTTAAATAATATAAGACTGCTGAGAAATCCACAATATTTAGCTGGTTAGAGCTCTGCTATGGCTAATAATTGTAATTACTGCATGGACTACACAAAGCAAAAACTATATGAAACCAAGCCTTTCCTGTCAGTTTAAACAAAAGTGAAGTAAAATTTCACAGTGGTTTCGGAAAATGATGCTAACATTGTTCTTGTTATTTTTAACTCAGTTTACAGTATTTGTGGATCAAATACTGCCTTTTCAAAAACATTACAAATGGAATGGTAAAATTTGAAAGTCTAAGCAATGACTTTGTGTCAGTCCAGGTTCTAAATGAATTCTACACGGTGAGTTTTCAA